TCATTTTTAATCTTTACCGTCTTTGTTTGTTCGGCAGGTCTTACAGCGTGTGCCACTACATTCCGACCAATAAATGCGTATTTAAATAAATATGTGGGCTCCTAACGTTGCAGATATAACATAAAGTATAAACAGGTGTGTCATATAAATAGTAGCTTTCTGTGTATGTATCTACACGTGGTGATGACCACAACGTTCGACACTTGTAGAAGATTTATAAGAGCGCGTTGTGTTGAAGCAATTTCGTTTTATATATACAAACCCAAACTCATTACGGCATACCCTGTTGTGCTGCATTCTGTAAGGTAGGCGAAACGGCTAATATACGGTGATGGTAGCAAAGAAACAAAGTGATCTTGAGGGCCAACATACAGCATTTCCCTCGCCTTGCCATCAATCATGATCACATGCAGCGTCTGCCGCCGTAGCGACAGGACACCCAATAAATTGAAGGCAGATAAATACACGGGACAGACGCATTTTAGATTGGCAGTTAATTTCAAGAGGCTTTAGTTTTAAAGAATTGTTCTACCAAGGTTAACAAGCTTTGGGAATGTACACTCTTGGTTGAGAGATTTCAAGTTTTTTACTTTGATTGATATGCTCATAGATTCTGAGGGTGATCGGCCTAATGATGGATGCAAGCACAGCTGAAACGTCGGTCAGTTTCTACTAGGCTACAAGGTGCAACATCCAAGAAGACAGCCAGCTTAAATATTTATGCACACAGCAATCATCTCTGCTGCCTGCCACATTACTTTTGGTGCCTGTTATTGTTTTGCTGTAAGGTCGACTGCTTAACCACAACACTGGACAAGGGGTCATCATCAGTAACCAGAGCCTTGTCCTTCAGGGTGTGAGCAGAACCAGCGCCGGAGGGTGACGGCGAAACCAGATACTTCTATCTCAACGTGGTGTGTGAGTTGCATCATGATATTTAAGGATAAAAGAAACAAACAAGTGGCAGCGAAACTCCTGCATACATACCAGATTCCATGGTAAATTATAATTTGGCAGATGAGCAAAAGTTTATAAACCAGTGATGTCATTTTATGAATAGTTAATTGTTTTACAAACGTAAGCGTACGGGGTGTGTAGACGCTCCGATGTGCAGGGCGAACCAGACGCGGGTCCACGGAGCCGCGACGCAGGAGAAGGCCAGTTCCCTGAGGGGAAGTGAAAAAAAATTGAACTCATCTATAAAACTGCCTCATTAGTTCCAACATATGACAGATTTTTTACAGCAGCAGGTTCTGCTTGCTGAGCTGCCATGCAAAAGTGCCATTCCACAAATGGATATGTCAACATGCTGCTGCCAGAATAATTAAATCCAAGTGTTACACAAAGAAACTGAACTTTTTAAAAAATACACTTCTCACTAGAATTCTGAATGCATTTACCCCAATCTGCCTTGCAATTCTAAATGTAAAATTTGGAATAAACACACTTACTTTGAAGTCACTGTTAACGACTTCACTAGCAAAATGATATTATAAAAAATTTATTTTCATTTCTGTAGGGATGATACGAGGTGAGATCGGAAAGTTTCAAGAATGTGTTAATAGAGGGCGAACCGGATGTAGCACGAGCTTCTGCCGCTAGGGGGTGCGGCCTACATTCATAGTGAATCAGTGTGCCAGCCGGCATCATCGAATTAGCATTTGTTTCTTAGTTACGGGCGTTTTGGTAGTGCATTACACCGACCCTCCTGCGATTTCGGAATGGCGTGTGCATCAAATTTTGCCAAAGACTCGCCAAAACGGCTAAGGAAACCTATGAAATGCTAAAGCAAGCATTTGGGGAGTCCGCAATGGGTCGTGCACAAACGTTTGTGTGGCATTCACGTTTTAAAAAGGGCCGGCCGAACCTCTGTCGATGATGACGAGAGTTCTGGACGACCATCTTCGAGCACAACGCCCGAAAATGTTACGAAGATCGAAGTCGTACCATCAACGACTTGTGCGACATTGTTGGGATAGACTATGGGATTAGTTCCAACAACATTCTGCTCGCTGAGCTGCCATGTAAAAGTGCCATTCCACGAACGGTTATGTCAACATGCTGCTACCAGAATAATTAAATCCAAGTGTTACACAAAGAAACTGAACTTTTTAAAAAATACACAACTTCTTATAAGAATTCTGAATGCATTTACCCTGATCTGCCTTGTAATTCTAAATGTAAAATTTGGAATAAACACACTTCGAAGTCTCTGTTAATGACTCCACTAGCAAAATGATATTACAAAAATTTTATTTTCATTTCTGTAGGGATGATATGTCCACAAGTTGAAAGAACTTAATATATAAAAGTGAAAATTTTCATATTATCCATCATAAAATGATTAAAACATGGCAACATTCTCTGAATACATTCCATTTGGCACACACTTAGGCCTGTGCTTCTGAAATTCACAGCACACAGCTTACTTATTAGCAGTGTTTGAGATGGCTTGCAAATACCTCAGCTGAACAGAGCAGAACCATTGTGCCTCCATAACTGAATTTATTTTAAAAACTGCAACTTTAAAACTTTTATGTTATTACCACTGGAACACACTGTGAGTAATAGTTTCTTAGACCAGGGGTCATTTTTGGGATTGCAACTAGGAAAATTTTCTAATTAAAAAATGCCAACGTATGCTTTTCACACACACAAACCTTTGTGCCTTTAAAAACACTACTTTCTGTGATTAAGGGACCAGTCATATTTTATGTAAAAATTCTTTCACAGTTTTTAACCTTATCTCAAAGAAACTGTATGGTGTAAGCATTGACCATTGTATTAATACCTACGCAATGTTGAAGTTCACAGGCAGACAGCGAAACCACGGCTCACCGTAGACTAACAACAGAAACCTCAACTTAGGCCAGTGGACATAAAGCTAATAGCTCGATTTAGACAATACACCATCTCTTGCGCAATTAACGCACAGTGTGTTATTGTTTAAAGTATGGTTTTATAAAGTACGACCTTTTATGCTTTATAACAAACCATCGTCTTATGAATTGTATGATTTAATATGAATTAAATCTAAACCTTGATCAAAGCTAGAAATGTACTCCTCCTCAGAGGATGCAGCCAATATTGCCACATCTTTTCACATCAGTGAACAGTCAAGAAAATATAGTGGATACTGTAAAGTGCAAAATCCTTGAGAGCACTCAAAAACACCAAGCTTCCCATGCGTGTATGGTTGGTGGTCCCCACCTTAAACTATACTCCTTATAAAATGTACTCTGAATGGGACTGCACTTTCCTTTAAAACTGAAATATATTAACAAGAACAAATAAAACTGCACAATATTCTGAAATCACTGACAAATATCTGCCATTTGTTAAGAAAATGTTCAAATTTTTCTGCTGAGAAAGCTTTTGAAGTGTGATAGATTTTGCACCCTTCACATGTCAATGTAAAGGGAACTTTCATAAAAATAAATTAATGTCTTGTCTTCACAATCAATAAATGCAAGCACATCATCATACTGCAAAAGTATACAGTCATTTTGGTATAACTGACAAATTTTTAAAACACAAGTACATAAATAGAACTGTTTTAATAAAAAAGTGATGATTTTAATCACTTTTGCTGAAGACCAAACTACACATAAAAGTGAAATTATGTCACAAATATTTTGACTGCTTCCCAGCATGAGGTCATAGATTTTCTACCTTCGAAACCTAGGCCCACATACACCCTTTGTTATTGAGTCATGAGCTGCTGTTTATAAATGGCAACAATTTTGTAATACTAGAGCAGGGCGCTCGTTTCGGAGCTCCTAGGGGGGGTTGGTCAAGTTTGTAAAACGCAACCAACCTTGGTTAGTCCCGAAGGGGAGTTAGTTTAGTGTCTCATTCAAGTGTTTTAACCCCTGAGTAAGAAACTAAACTAACCCCCCC